ATATTTGAGGGGCTGCTACAGAGAGGAAGGGGTCAAGCTATTTTCTAAAGCGCCTGTAGGCCAGACAAGGAATAATGGATGGAAACTGAACAAGGAGAGATTTAACCTGGAAATAAGGAGTGACAGTGAGAACACAACCAATGGAACAGAAGTTGCCCTCGGAAGTTGTGGGAGCGCCATCTCTTGAGACTTTCAAGAAGAGATTGGATTGCCATTTATCAGAAATGGTGTAGGGTCTCCCGCTTGGGCGGGGGGTTGGACTAGATGACCTACAAGGTCCCTTCCAACTCTGATTATCTGTTATCTGTTATCTGAATAGAAAGCTGCAAGTAAAGGCCTGATAGCAAGGAGTATATTGATTAAGATTTGATGAAGAATATTAGTACTTGCTGTATTTGTCTGCAGTTAGTCCACAGGATGTTGCAAATTAGCAAACTTTTGGGGGCAAGGGCACATCTAGAAATTTATGGCTATAGTATATTCAGAAATTATCTGCCAGGAGCATATTTACAAATTGCTTCCTTTGGAGTCTATGCCATTGCAGAAAGTTCATTACAAAGATTTTAGAAATTGTTCCTTTTTTATCGTGCTGTTGTGGTTTAAACTAAGAGAGATGAACTGTCTCACCCTGATGGGATTGGCCCACCCCACCTATGCTGGCAGAAGGGCCATACTGCAGATCCCATCAGTCAAGGAATTTGGGCTGGCAGGCTCCAGGAGAAGAGCCTTCTCTGGCGTAGCTCCACCTTCTGGAACTTCTTATCCCCTGAGGTGAGATTGGCTCCACCCTTCTGACATTTCATAAGAGCCTTAAGACCTGGCTGTTTCATAAGAGCCTTAAGACCTGGCTCTATGACGTTTCATAAGAGCCTTAAGACCTGGCTCTATGACGTTTCATAAGAGCCTTAAGACCTGGTTTCGAGACCCAGTGCGGGAGCTTCACCCTTGAAGTGGTTATTAAAATTTAACCCCACCAGAGGTGGGCTGCACTTTCATTGACAAGGGGTTCGCTGGTCGTGAGCGCCTGCTTTGGGTCTGCAACGCAGCTTCAAACAGGCAGCTAATCGACTCAGGCAGCTCCAATGAGTACAGCAGGGCAGTACGGAACTCACCTGGGCAGGGGAAAAGTTAGTTATTTAGGGAAAGCATAGTACAAGGGCGGGTGGATGGGCCCAACCACAGATCACAGCAAGAATTTCCCCAAACCTCGCCAACCATGCACCACTGAATCCCAGCTCCCCACCTCTGTGTCTCTGACTCCCCTCTTTCTCATCTGGTGCTAGTAGTTTGTATTTGTTAATGATTTTATCCACAGTATTCTATGATTGTTGATTATGTTTTTTTAATGCTTCAATATTTTTATGCTGTAAGCCGCCCAAGTCATTGAATATGAGATGGGTACAAATAAATTTCCTAAATAAATAAACAAACAAACAAAATATTCAAAAGTTAATAATGTAAGCTAATATTTTCTCTTTAGATCCCCCTGCAGAGAGCATCCGGTCAAGTACAGGTAGTCCTTGACTTATAAACACAATTGAGCCTAAAATTTATGATATTGAGACATTAAGTGAGTTTTGCCCCATTTTACCATCTTTCTTGCCACAGTTCTTAAGTGAATCACTGCAGTTGATACGTTAACAACATGGTTATTAAGTGAATCTGGCTTCCCCATTTATTTTGGGTGTCCAAAGATCTCAAAAGGTGGCCACATGACCTTGGGGCACAGCAACGGTAATAAATATGAACCAGTTGCCAAGCATCTGAATTTTGATTACATGATCATGGGGCTGCTACAAAGTGTGTGAAAAATGGACATAAATCACTTTTTTCAGTGCCATTGTATCTTTGAATGGTCACTAAGTAAACTGTTGTAAGTCAGGGACTATCTGTAATGGTTTATCAAAGTAGTCAGTATCAGGCCAGGTCCAGAAACACACCAAGTGAAATTAAGTAAATCAAAATTTTGTATATTCCTATGTATTCGACCATGCAGTAAGAGATATTATTGGTTTTTCTTCCTTTCAATAGCCATTTTTGGGGTGTTGCTATTCAGCATTCCTCAAGGATTGTGAAGAAAAAGCTAGGCAATGAAAAGAATAGGAGACGTGTACAGTAATATTTTTCAGAAGCAATGAAATCACTGACCCTCCCCTGTTGCTAAATAATGCCTTAAGGCTATCATGTGTTCTCCCCCACCTGTATTGTTAAATTATTCATTATTTATAGAGAGAGGAAATTGTGAGGGAGTTTGAATGTTACTGCTTTTTAACTGCCAAACTTCATGCTGTGAACAATTCCACTTCAGTTAGATTGTGGTTTTTGACAACAGAGTGAATGTTTCAATAAAGGTCATTCAGGAGTAATAGCTCCAGAGCTGTTGAAGTGTTATAATTAGAAGAGTTTATATTGGTTCTCTCAAGCAATATTATTTTAATGGTACAGTATAGGGATGCAAATTTGCTTTTGATTTCTAATTATTAGCCACCATTTTTTTTAAATATACAAGAACCATAGAAAGCAGCTACAGAAAACTGTAAGGATCTGATAAGTAGGGAATTTCTGTTAAAAGTCTTAATAAATGCTTGGTCGTGTAACTCTTTCATTAGAATGGCTGTTAAATTACTCTGAAAGGTTTACTAAATTGGAGAGCTTCACTGTAGAAATCAGTGCAATTATTGTACTGAGAATAGAAATAGGATATGGATGGGCTAATTTCTGTGGTCAATATAGTTACTTGCTGTAGAGCAGTATGATTTTAAAGGGTATAATTAATATATACAATTTAGACGCTGCCTGACTCCTTAATGATTTTGGGTTGCTTACATGTAAAAAAAGCAAGAAACAATAAAAGCAAGAGTAGAGATCTTACGTGTCCAGCACACAAACCGTACACAACAAACAACCTCCCTATCTAAAGCCTTGGAGGATAGCCAGGTTTTCAGAATGCCATCAGGGTGGGAGTCATATGAATCTCTTAGGGGTTGCTGTTTCAGAGGCCCTGTATTACTACAGACAATACATACTTCTTAGGTTCTGGTACATGGCATTATTTACCAGAAGTAAACTCACTCAGCCAGAGTTTGCTGGATGGAAAGAAACTACTGGAAATAGATGCTCCCTCAACCACCAGTGCTTTATAAGTGGCAACCAGCACCTTGAATTATACTTAGAAGCTGACTGGTGACCAGTGCAGCTCACAGAGCAGTGATCTAACATAGGCATATTGAGCCATGCCCTTGCTACGTGCACTTCGACATTCTAGACCAGCCATAGTAATGGCTTTTAAGGGCAGCCCCATGCAAACATGCCACCTGCTCCTTGAGCTGAAGCTGTGAATCTAAGACAAACTCCACATTTTGCAATAGTATCAAATGGGAAACTGCCACCCTATCTAAGATAGAGAATCTTCAGGACCGGGGTCCCAAATATCCAGAGCCAGTCTTGTCAGGATTGAGCGTCAGTCTGTTCTTCCCTATCAACTGCAATTATTCACTTGCTTTGCAGCACAAATTCTGGTCCCAATTGTAGTTGGAAAACAAGGACTACCTGTACACCTTGTCACAGTCCGTTGCCAATCTGGAGCCAGTCTGTTTTGGCATCTTCTGTCTGTACTGAGGCTTCTGATCTGTTATGTAAATTTCTCATAAGGACAGTGAAATGCTTTGGAATATACACTATACTCTGGGGGGAAAGTGGTGAAATATACCAAAATTTGTTATGGGTGCCATTGTTACAGTGACTGAAAATGTGCTGATTCCATGCTGGCTCAGACCATTTGTTCTGACAATTTATTCTAACAACAGCCTCTAGTATCTGAAACAAAGAGGTTACCTATCATTTGTTGCCTGACCCTCATAAACAGAGGTGCTGGTAATGAATCTTCTGCATACAAACTGGGTGTTTGTGCCAAGCCATGTCTCCTCCTAAGCTGTAGAAACGTATATGATGGAGGAGAGTATTGTACGGGTTGCCATGCATTGTGAATTTCAAGGCGTTCCCTTTGTTAGCTATTGTTAGAAAGACCCTGTGTTCTTGTTCTTAACATTTATAAAGCATTTGTTAATTATTTAAGCAGGCATTTGTGAACTGGGGATGTTATGATTAGATCCCTGAAAGTTCATGATACTATTATTTATTATGTCTTCCTGAATTACCAGTAATTGAAATCTTTTTTAAAATAGCATCTGGTTGTGTTATGTTACATGTTATGTTGCTGAAATTAAAATCCTTGTAAGGTGCTGAAATCTGACTAATTGAAGTGACATAAAATATCAATAATAATACCCTGTTTCTCCAACAGTACAGCCTCCCCCAATAGGAAGTCCCTGTATGTTTTATAGGCATGAAATGAAATTAAGCCCCTCCCCCCAAATTAAGGCCTATATTAAAACATGCAAAATGGGGGGGGATGGTGGGGGGGCTTGCCGTTAGGAAGTACTTTTGTGGCACACCCGGATATGGTGCTGCCTGCGTTGACCCTGATACGAAGTGCCCCACCAACGCCGAGGTCAAAATCCAAGCCGTCGCCGCCCACCCACCCAAAGATGCAAGGGGGGGGGAAATTAAGTCACCCCCGAAAAGACGTCCTAGCCATTTTTTCGGGGCTCAAAAAAAATAAAATAAGACCCGGCCTTATTATATGAGAAACACGGTAATTGAATAAATTGCATATGTGATCTTCTGTATATTTCAAGGTGAAAGGACTCCACATAGTTATGACTACAGTACCTCTACATAATACTAAGATACTGCGGCTAGATAAGAATCTCTGCTGATCCCTTCTTGGCCTTAATGGCAGATTGGGATGAAAATAGGATTATACAGTTTTATGGTACAACCAAAAGAACACTTTTACTGAATATTACAGATTACATGGTATCTCTTGTATTATCTGAATGTTAAATAGCTTTGCAACAATATTGTTTGTAATAATTTTCTTCAAAGAAATATGCAGTATTTTTGATGGTCATGATTGTTTCTCTTTGATTCACTTTTAGCTCTTCTTCAACGAGTAGCTGAACTAGAGAAAGTCAATGTTGAATTTCTACGTACAAAACAGAATCTCGAGCAAGAATTTAATCAAAAGAGAGCCAAGTTTAAAGAACTGTATCTGGCTAAAGAAGGTAATGTTTAATTATTTTAAGTAGATGTAAAAATATCAACTATTAACTATGATGGCTAGGTAGAGAATTATTATTTTTTGAGGGAATGTACTGTTTGAGAAAATATATGTGAGGATCTTTCCCACACAGAAAAACATTACTGTCTGTCTCACAAGACATAAAGACCCTTCATAAATCTTAGGCTTCAAAATGAGTTGAAAAAGCATAGCACATTATTTAGAATGGAATACACATAGTCCTTGACTTACGACCAGCTTTTCAGTGACTGTTTGAAATTACAACAGCATAGAATAAATGGTGGCTATGACCAGACCTCAAAGTTCTGGCTGTTCCAACACTTTCTGTGGTTGTGTGACTGCACTCTGGGCACTTACCACGCTGCATTTATGACCAATTGCAACTTCTTTCTGTATAACTTTAATGAACACAAGACTGATTTAAAGTAGTGGGTATCATCTTGAAGAATTTACAGTGAGCCTGTGGTCCCATCCCATTTTGTTTGAGTAGAAGCACCTTGACTAATAAAGAATGTCTATTTGTTTTTGATATGGTGTTCAGCTGAGTGTGTAGAAGTCTATAACTATAGCTTGGTATGTGGTTATGGTAGGTTATTTCTAGGGCAATCCAATCTGAAAAGGTCGGGCAGCTTCTCCCTGCAGAAAGCACACTTGACTCTGTTCAAGAAGAGCATGGTCTCAAAATTAAAAAAATGCTCCTCATAACATCCTAAGATGGCAAGTTCATGGTAAGTATAAAGTCTGTTTTCTGATACTAGGAAATATGATTCCATCATAAAAAGCAGTTTTAAAACAACGGCATAGGTTTCAATATTTCAAGCTTATCATAGAGTTGGAAGGGAAACTGAGAATGAGACATACTAGAGTAGTAAACTGGGTGTAGAATTTATGCTGATTTGCTTAGAACTAATCCAATATTAGCAATACGTGGGAGGTTTTTCCCCTTGGCTCCAGGAATCTCTAAAATAAATAAATGTTTATATAACTATCCCCTATTGTTTTTAAAGAGGATCTGAAGAAGCAAAATGCAGAATTGCAGGCAGCACATGACAATCTGGAGAAACTTCAAAAGCAGCTCATGGAAGCACAGGCTGAAATGGAAAACATCAAAGCCGTTGCTACAGTGTCTGAAAATACTAAACAGGAAGCTATTGATGACATAAAGAAACAGTGGCAGGAAGATGTTGCCTCTCTGCAGGCAATAATGAAAGGTAGGACTAATAAAAATGGATGGATTGTTTGAATGGATTGGCCAGTTTCATACTATCTCCGATACATAGGCTTGCTACTCCAAACCGCTGCATGGAAAAACTGCCTGCTTCAAATAGCTCTTGTAGAAAGGAAAGTACACTAAATTGATTCAGAAGAATGATTTGATATATGAGGTCATTGTTTGGCATTTTCTGTGGTTAATTTTGTGGCTTCATATTTTTTCTTGTTATTTAGAAATACCTATCCTGCTTGTGTTAAAAGTCGGTTCAGAAGACTTTCAAAAATAAATAAATGAACATCATAAAAATTATGATTCTTCTAGTAGTATATTCTATTTTAAAAGTAGGATTTATACTTAATAAATAAATAAATTTATTTCCTCCAACCTGAAGCAGTTGTATTTGAAAAATGACCATATTAGTAAGAAGGGTAGGCCAAAACAGTTCTTACTGACAATGTTGTAATATACAAAAGTATGTATGTATAGTGGCAGTTAGTTGTAACTCTTGATTTGTACCCTGCACAGATTTTCTATTTCATTATCAGATGTAGAACTGTGAATATATTTTTGAAAAACAAAGAATTGTTGATAACTGCATGAGGAATTATGGTACGTCTGTATCCATCTTGCACTTACTGTTAATATCTGAAATATTCTCCAGTGTAGAAAAGTTTACATAGTCATTTCTGTCACTAGAACAAACAATGAGGTTTGAATTTTTCAGGTGTAACTACGGCATCTACATTTTCTATATTTACTTGGAAAACATACTCCAAACTTGGTATTTAATCATAAGCTGTACAGATTCAGTGAGGGGGCCATTTTCTGTTCTAGGAGATTTTATTCCAGTAAACTATCAGACTGACCCCGGCCTTGTTGGATTGGTGCATTTTAGGTGTATAATCAAACAATATGCTTAAGAATCTCACTTCGGGTAGTCTTGTAACATGATTGTCAGCAAAGATGATTTGTTGTTGTTATTATTCAGAAACTGTCCGTGAATATGAAGGCCAGTTTCATCACAGGTTGGAACAAGAGCGATCTCAGTGGAATCAATATCGAGAGAACGTTGAACGGGAAATAGCAGAGCTTAGAAGGCGACTTTCAGAAGGTCAAGAAGAGGAAAACTTGGAGAATGAAATGAAGAAGGTTAGTCAGGATAGAGCAGAGTTTCTCAACCTTGGCAACTTCGGTGGGCTTCAACTCCCAGAACTCTGCAGCCAGCGTTCCATAAAAAATAAAATCATATGCCGCTTGATAGTAGATTAACAAATTGGGCTGGTCCTAGCCTCACTGTTCCTAAGCTTTGAGCTCTATATAAAAACGCTTTTATTTAGTCTCATTTTTTGTGCATGAAAGCAAAATATATTTTATTTATTTAATTATTTTGCCAGTGTCTTAAAGGCTGATCTGAAAACACCACTGGGAATCATTGAAATAAAAAGTTTTCCATGCAAGCATTTTTAATTTTTATCACTGAAAATTTTCCAAAATATTGAAATATTTTAAAGCCTAGTTTTTCATTTCCTTGTTTAATTTCTTCCATATTGGTATATAATTATTTGTATGTAAAGATTTTAATTATACTTTAGTAATAGTGATACCTAAATATTTTAAAGATTTATATACTATTGGAATCCCTAAAAGTGTGGAAATTTCCTTTTGACTTTTTGGGGATGTACAAATAAACATCAAATGTGATTTATGAAGATTAGCTGATGGTCCTTATACCTCTACAAAGTCATCTTAATTCCTTCTTAATATAACTAGCTGAAGAAAAGTATTTGAGAGAATTAAGATCATATCATCTGCAAAGAGATTTAAAAGATGTCTCCCATTTTTATCCCTTTAATTTGGTTGTTGGATCTAATTGCTGTTGCCAAGACTTTGGTGATCAAAGACAACCCTGCTTGGTATCTCTTTAAAATAATGGGGTCTGAATCTTAGTTGTCAAGACATATCTGGGCTTTAGTTTGATCAACTTATAGAAGCCTGCCAAATTTAAACTAATTTTTATTTTAAAAATCGTATATCCAGAGAATCAAAGGTTTAAATGTATATAAAGAACATGTGGTTAATGAAGATTTATTATGTTACAATTTGTATAATATTTCATAGTTTTCTAATAGGGGTATTACAGTTTGGAATAAAGCCATCCATAAGAATAATTTCACTTACAATCACTTTTTGTTGGTTGGTTAACGATTTAGTGTACAGTTTATAATACATATTGAGAAGTGAGATGGGCTTATAAAATGCCAAATCCTGGAGATTTTTCTCTTATTCCACATTATCTTAGAACATTTCTAAGATTCGGGTAAAGGTTCCCCTTGATGCAAATTATTGCATAAAAATAGAAATTCAGGGACTAAAATATCTTTAAATGTCTTATAAAATTTCCCTAACAATCCATGAGATTTTGCAGTTTAAATAATATTCAAGACTTAAGTGATTTCTGAAATAGGAAAAAAGATTCCATAAATTGTATATCTCAGGAGCTGAATGTTAATTTATTTAAATATTGATTGATTTTTATTGAAGGATTATTTGAGAAATATAATTGATGAAAATTTTGAATTGTTCACTTATACCTTTAATTTTGATCACAATTTGATCTTTGCTATTTTTAATTTCACTTATTTATTTTTCTCATTAGCTTTTTTCAATTTATTTGCCAGTACAGTATTCTAGAATTTTCATTACATGTTTGTAGTAAAATTACTCTTGGCAAAAATAATCTGAGAGGACATTTTATCTGTCTCCAAACCATTAAACTCTCTTTTGATTTATTGTTTCTTTGTAAAAAAAAAAAAACCAATCTGATTAAGTTTTGTTACAATTTACTAATAAATTATTAATTTCTAAATAAAGCTAACTGGTCTTTTATGCTGATATTTTTTTATCATGCTAATCTGGTTTATACACTCACTTTTTAATACTGTCTTCATAACATCCCATCTTGTTCTTACATTTGTATGATTTTCTTGAAAAAGTTTTCTTTATATTTTGTTTGAGTTACTTATATAGCATTATATTGAAACACCAATTGTAAGTAAGTGGAACAATCTGTTCTAATTGAAACCCAAGTAGCTTTGAAATTGTCAATGTGTGTCAGTGTGTCTTTTATACATTCAGCACACAAGAAATCTGTTACCTAAAACTGATACAGTACTGAGATTCTGTTAGGATTCAGTCACTAGACTGGTGACTGAAATCAGGTCACAAATAAAGTTATTGTATCATTTAATATTGATTTCAGGCTCAAGAAGATGCCGAAAAACTTCGTTCAGTTGTGATGCCCATGGAGAAGGAGATTGCAACTTTAAAGGATAAACTGACTGAAGCTGAAGAAAGAATAAAAGAGCTGGAAGCTTCAAAGGTGAGCAAAACAACATAATAACAATAAATGCTGAGGAAGAGTATAATAATTACTGATCTATCAACACTACATATTGTTTCTTTGCTTTGTAGCATGCCATTTTCATGCTTTTTTGGACAGGAAACATGGTGACACCATAGGAGATTTCTGTAAGCAAAGTATTGTCATTAAGCATTATAAATATATTTAAAAATACAATTATCTCTTATCCTTTCTTCTCCTTCAACCCTGTCCATGCCATGACATTATTGCTTTCTTCAAAACTCAGAACTGTAGCTTTGCTTCATCTGTATCTTGTTGAATACATTTTAAATTTACTAGGAAAACAGATGTTTACTAGAGAATGTTAAAACTCAATGAAGATTTGAATGCCTGGGCCTCACATTCAATCCTAATAAGCTAAGTATATATGGCATTTAAAAAATAGACTATGTTTTGAGAAAACTGATACCGCACTTAAAATCTTTCTCCCTCCCTCTGCTTTTTATCAACATATTGCAATATTCCCTTGGAATTTTGCATATTACATGAATAGAGAAAATGATTGCCTTTAAGTGGTATTTTGTGACAGGTTTTATTTCCTATAGCATCTTCTTTCTAATAAACTAATAGCAGTTCTGCTGTTTAATATTCAAGATATCCCAGGTACATCATTCCTTTTTTCTTAATAACTTTTAATATTTGCTTTCAGCAGAGGATTATAGAACTTGTTTAGCAAGTGAATATTAAAAGATAAGGAAGCAGCGTTCATTATCTTTTTCACTGTAGAGTTGACCTTTTCACAAATACTGTAGTGGAGACATTTCATGATCCTCCCCACACAGTTCTTTGCATGCTATTAACTTATGAAACTGAAGCAGCAGATACCAGTAAAGCAAACAGCTGTCATCTTAAAATTCTCACTTGTCTTAATTATACATTATTATACTTATATACATATACGGCCTTTATATAACTTGCAATACACATTTTAGAGTCTAAAGTATGGGCTAAAGGTTCTTAAAGTAAGCAACCTTTTGTATTTTTTTAAAAATAGGAAATTAATTAGAAGTAAAATAAGACACCAACTTCCATTCATTAATTCATTCATTCATGATCATGTAGGATAATCTGCCCCAACTGGCCCTTCAGGCTGTCGAATATTGCACCTGTTACCACTGTATTCAGGTTCATCCATCTTACTGCTGGTTTTCTTCTTTTCTTCCCCAACACCATATATTTCTCAAAAGAGCTTCTCCTTACATTGTGGGTCTAAGATACAATTTCAGCCTGCTTATTTGTGTCTCCAGTGGCAACTTGGATTGATTTGTGATCCATTTGTTTGTCTTCCCTGCTATCCACAGTATTCCTGAGAATCTTCTCCAATATCAACTTTGAAAAAGTGAATACTCTTTCTGTATTTTTCAAAATCCAACATTCACCTTCATAGACTGTCACAGGGAAAACAATTAAGGATATAATTCTGAACTTTGTATGTATCAACACGTCAAGGAATATTTTTTCTGAGGCCTTTGTATTACCTTACCAGATACTAATCTACGGCATATTTCTTGGTTGCTGATTTCCTTACTGTTAATAGTTTATCCCAGAAGACAGATTTTAAACATTATTCCAATATCTTCCTTGTCAATTCTAATTCTGGTTGCTCTACCTGTTATCACTATTTTTGATTTCATATTTAATCTCACTTTCATTTTTTCATTTTTAGCTATCAGAGAAGTGAATTACAGCTATTACCATGCAGTGCAAATTATCAGTGTTTCTTATTTAAGTTTTGAAACCATGCTTGTCTTTTTCTAGTCTAGCACTAAGGAGAACAACAGATATCATACCTTTGAATGATTTTCCTGAATAAATCAATGAACAAACATAATGTTTTTGACAATTATTTCATTGAGTACTGTTGATCTAGTTTTAGGACTTGTGTGAAGAACAGGCCATGTTTTAGAACATACTGTATTTATACAGAAATACTGAAAATTTATTCACAAACATTTAAGCACCAATATGGGTAATATCCAAGACCTAGGTATTACTGTTATATCAGTATAACAGTTCCTGACTAACTACTTTTTCTAACATGCTTAGAAATATACTTGATAAATATCTATGCTAACCATTAACTTTTGCTTCTCTGTATGTTTTTCAGGTTAAAGAACTGAATCACTACTTGGAAGCCGAGAAATCCTGTAGGACAGATCTAGAAATGTATGTGGCTGTTTTGAACACTCAAAAGTCTGTTTTGCAAGAAGATGCAGAAAAATTACGGAAGGAACTTCATGAAGGTATGGATTTTTTTCTGGGCTAAAAATAGGAAAATAATAATTAGATTTAGAACATGCAACTACATGCTCAAGCTAAGTTGTACGCCCATAATACGCTACTAAATGCAGTGTAATGTCTTCTCATATTGAAAAAATAACTCTTAGAGCCCACAATCCAAGGAAAGAAGGAAGCTTCATACGAACCAGAAGCTAGTCTTTAATTTACAATTAGTGTGTACCATACATAAAGTTAAGTTTTATTTTTCTAAAATATGTAATGCATATTAAGGGAACTATTTTGTACTTTGTGGAGGTTTTTTTTCTTTCTGACTTTTCTTTCCCTCTATTTGACATCTGAACAAATAGTTTTCTGGAGAATAGTACAGGTAGTCCTCAGCTTACAACCATTCGTTTAGTGACTGTTCAAAGTTGCAACAGCACTGAAAAAGTGACATGACCATTTTTGACATTTACAATTCTTGCTATATCCCTATGGTCACATGATGCTTGACAACTGGTTCATATTTATGATAGTTGCTGGGGTCTCAGGATCATGTGATCACCTTTTGCGGCCTTCTGACAAGGGGGAAGTCAATGGGGAGCTGGATTCACTGAACAATTATGTTACTAATTTAAAAACTGCAGTGATTAACTTAACTGTGGGAAAAAAGTTTGTAAAATGGGGAAAAATTCACTTAACAACTGTCTTGCTCTCTGCTCCATTGTGGTCATAAGTCAAGGACTACCTGTAATTAGAAAGAATATTAATTCAGTGTTCAAGAGCTATAAAAAAGCAATGTTGTTGAAATAGGGTAAGCTTATGTAAGAGTAATATCAAGTAGTAAATTGAGTTGTTCTTATGTTCTTGAGTACTGAGAACAGACAGAATAAAATTGGAATACTGTTTCTTATCTATCAATATTCTTCTGAGGCTTACATCTGATTTGCCTGTGTTAAGACAGAATCTTACAAAATTGTTATTAAAAATGCCTTTTTTATTATATAGCTGAATGATTCCACATAATCTATTCTGTAGATTATCCAGCTGAAGTATGCCTTCTATATTCATAGTTCCTATTGTATGCGCATATATTTTAGGAGATGTAAAGAATTATACATCAGATAAATCTTTAATGATGTTCCTTCTTACCCATACCTTCCACAAGAACTCAATATGGATTCTCTTGAAAGTCTTACGTCAAGAGAACCTTTGATTTGAGTTTGAGATGAATCAAGCTTTGAGCTCTTCAAAATTAACATTCTTATTACATCAATTTTAGCAAATCATCAAAAATGAATTACACCCCATCAAATTAATGCTGCAACAAAGTATATGAATTCAATTGTTGTAGTGGTTGCTACAACTTAAGAAAATAAACTATATTTTATTTGGCATTCAGAACTATGGAAAATTATGTTGACTGAAAACATAACAACACAGAGTTCTTACCAGTGTGTATCCTTAATGGAACTGCATCTACATGGAGAAAAATATGCAGTGGCTATTAGTATATCACAAGGCTCTTAGGCCCAGTACTCTTCAATATCTTCATAAATGATTTATATAAGGAGATAGAAGGGGAACTCATATTTGGAGATGACACCAAGTCGGTGGAAATAACCAACAGAATATAGGCTAAAGATACAAAAGGATTTCAACAGACTTGAATACTGGGTCCTATCTAACAAAATGAAATTCAGTGGTGAGAAAAATAGTTTCACTCTTAGACAGGAAAAAAAAACCCTATAAATATACAGATATAGAATAGGTGGTACCTTACTTAATATAGTAGTAACTGAGAGAGGGATTTGGGAGTCCTACTAGACAGTCACTTAAATATGAGCCAGCAGTGTGTTGCAGCCACCAGAAAAGCCACAGCAGTCTTGACTGCATTAATAGAGGGATAGATTGGAGATCATGTGATCTTATAAGAAGGCAGGACTAGAAGCAATGTCTCTGGCTTGAGAAGGGGGTTGGACTAGAAGACCTCCAAGGTCCCTTCCAACTCTGTTATTGTGTTATTCTGAGTCTTGAAGAAAATTTAAAAGATTCATTTTGCTGTATTTTATCTCTGTTTTACTTAGGATAGAAATATTGAATGTGTGAATATATTGAAAGTTTTGTACTGTTACCTATGTTTAGAAATATATAAAGCTTTATTATCAATTTTGCTGCTGTTTTTAGCTATATAGTTTTGGTTTTACTTGTTTGGTTTTTAAGATTCTTTTTTTATTTTATATATCTTGTGATTGCTGTCCATACAACAACTATAAACTGTGACATTAAATGAGGACTACTTGAACAATATGCTTACTCTGCTTCCAATCATTGTGTATGTTAGCTGCTCAGTATGCTATTAAATATTATCACAATTAACTCTGTGAGCAAACTTAACTGCTACAGTTCAAACTGGAATTCATTGTCTATTTTTATATAGTATGCCATCTACTAGAGCAGGAAAGGCAGCAGCATAATCAGCTCAAACACACGTGGCAGAAGGCCAATGACCAGTTCTTGGAGTCGCAGCGTTTATTGATGAGGGACATGCAATGGATGGAGATGGTGCTGACCTCGGAACAGCTACGGCAAGTTGAAGAACTAAAGAAAAAAGACCAGGTTAGCTAATACAGCTCTGAGATTTGTAGCCAAATTTTCTTGTAGTTGAAGAAGGGAGATGTAAGTAGAAGTAAGGGAGCATTTGTTTCTAGTATGTAAGGCACCTTTGGGAGGCATATTCTTAATAACATCAGATCTCTAGATGGAGTTAGCATGCATTGTGATAAAGGTTGGGAGGTTGGATGTGCATACAAAGAATGAACGGAAGAAGTATGTGCACTCTAATTATATAAATAATTCTCCATTTATGACCACAATTGAGGCCAGAATTTCGGTTGCTAAGCAAGGCAATTGCTAAGTGAGTTGCACCTGATTTATGACCTTTTTTGCCATGGTTGTTAAGTGAATCACTGCAGTCGTTAAGTGAACCGTGTGGTTGTTAAGGGAATCTGACTTCCCCCATTGACTTTGCTTGTCAAAAGCTGGCTGAGAAGATTGCAAATGGGGATCAGTTCTAAGTCACTTTTTTCAGTGTTGTAACTTCGAATGGTCGCTAAAAATGGTTGTAAGTCAAGGTCCACTTGTAGTAGCACTAACAATAGCACTTAGAGACTTGTATAGCTCTTTACAGACCTCTCTTAAGTGGAGAGGGAGCATATTGCCCCCCTACCCACAATCTGGGTCCTCATTTTACCCACCTTGGAAGAATGGAAGGCTGAGTCAACCTTGAGCCTGGTGAGATTTGAATTGCCAAATTGCAGGCAGCTGGCAGGCAGCAGAAGTAGCCTGCAGTACTGCACTCTAACCACTGCGCCACTGTAGCTCATCACTACAACCATACTTACATATGGGCTTTTGATGTTTGCATTATTGATGTCCAATATTTTACGCAAAGAAGCCAACTTATAAGTTAAGATATATTGAAATGTTAATTATACTAAAAGATGATGATATTGTAGTCTGAGTTTTTAAGAATGATTTGTATTAATCTGAAATGATGCTGTTTTGGTGTGTGTGTGTGTGAGAGAGAGAGAGAGAGAGGTGGGGGGGAATAAAGGGAGCATTTTCTATCTTGCAGATTTAAAAAAACCACTTTGATTTTCAATTTTTGTCCTAGGAGGATGAAGAGCAAAGAAGACTTCATAAAAGGAAAGAACAGAAGGAGAAAGGCACTGATGATGAATCAAACGTGGTTTGTTCTACAGTTCATGAAGAAGCCCTTCCACCATTTTCTGGTGAAGAGGTAAACTTAGTTATTATAACAGTACTCTCTTTACTGGAAATGCTTCTTCTTTGCTTAGGATATCCTCTCCTGCAGGAGCTGCATTGGTTGCCAATTTGCTTCCTGGCAATTCAAGGTGCTGGCTGTCACCTTTAAAGCCCTTCATGGCTTGGGACTGGGTTATCTGAGGGAACACCTCTTGCCAGTCACATCTACCTGACCCATTAGAGCGGGGAGGCAGGGAATGTTGCAGGTCCCATCCCTGAGGGAGATACACCTGGTGGGACCCAGAAGAAGGGCCTTCTCCGTGGTGGCTTCCTCTCTCTTCCTCTCTTCCTCCCCCAGAGATTAGTATGGCTCCCACTCTAGCACTCTTTTGAAAGGCGCTGAAGACCTGGTTCTGCCAGCGAGCCTGGGGAACCCAGAGCAGGATGGAGCCCATCAAATGGCTAGTGTGATCTGCTGTCATCGGGGCGGGGGGGTGGGGGTTGGGGGTTGATTTTTTTTCCCAGATTTTGTTCTATTAGACTTTATTAATTTATTTGATTCTTTTTGTTAGTTTTTATTGTTTTTTATTTTTATTTTTTGTTTTAAATATGGTTTTACATGGTGTAAGCTGTCGAATAGGCGGCAATATAGATTAAATAAATAAATAATATTATGTGAACCAACCCAGTTTATTGTACAGTATATTGTACAAACCAACAATAGTTAATTTAATAATCAGATTAAGCACATTGTGTGAATAGGTCCAAAAATCACTCTTCAATGAATTCTTTTACGCAATAGTTTGAGGGGGAGTCAGGGGGAGATTGTATTTCACTTTTGAATTCTGTACCAAAAAGAGCAGGGTTTATATGAGCCCCAAAATTGGCAGCTGAAAGTAAAGTCTTTCCTTCTTTTTTTGTACCAATGTTTAAAATTACTTATTGTGGGGCAATTGATCCATTGTGTGTGTTTTCTCACCATCTTCTACAAATGTGTAGCCTGACTTGAAATTTAAATTATTGTTGATTCATGATAAATCATGGTTCAAAAGCTAGCTTTTAATTAAGGAACAATAAGCATGAAATACTTTGAGATGTTTTAAGTATGGTTTAAAAGAGGCGGAGAAGTTATATGACTTTGCATACAATTTTGGCAAGGGATTCTGTTCTCTTACAAATAGAGTACTCACTGATGTTTGATAATTATGTATTTGAGAAACTGTTCCAAATAAGAATAGAATAGAATAGAATTCTTTATTGGCCAAGTGTGATTGGACACACAAGGAATTTGTCTTGGTGCAAATACTTGCAGTGTACATCAAAGAAAAAATAAAATACATTCATCAAGAATCATAAGGTTCAACACTTAATGATAGTCATAGGGTACAAATAAGCAATCAAATCATACTAGGAGACTATAAGCTTGATATACTATAAGCCTGAAATAGAAGACAGATGTGCCAGTTTTTTCACAATGAATTCCCAATGAGAATTTTATTGTGTTCTTCCTCAAAATATTTATCTTAAACTTTATTTCCAAAGGGGGAAAAAACTATTTTCATGAGCTACAAACAGGATGGGCAGGTTCTGTTTGGAGGAAGGAATCCTGATGGTTCCCAGAGCCTAAGCCTGCTGATAGGTCACTATCAGCACCTAAATTGTATTTAGAAACTGTTTAGCAATTAATGTAGTCTCTCCAGTGCAGGGGCCATACTGTTGAATCAGATCTTCCTCATTAGAATGCAGTCTGCAGCATTCTGTACTAGTTGCAGCATTTGTGTGGTCTTCAAGGACAACTGTAAACAGAGCATAGTTCAGTAACCTGTTTGATGTGAAGAGAATATGAATTGCTTCCTGCTCCCCAAATGGCTGTAGCTAAGCAAATGCGTCTTTGGCCATATTCTCCACCTACTGATCTATTCAGAGTCTGAATCTAGAAGCATTCTAGTCTCCTTTAGAGCTGTTTCTTTTAAGAGCGCAGTCTTCCAGAGCAAGTGGAGGGGCTGACAAACTGTTGATTTCTGAATAAGAAATTCCTAATCTGGATGAAAATAAGATATAAAGAGATAGCATGTATCAAAAAAGAAATTTTTTGAGTAATGAAAACTCCACTAAAGGGGGAGGAAGATTTCATTTTGGAGAGAAATGAGGGGGAAAGACCATAACTCACTGGCACGTTATATATTTTGGACTGGGTTATTGGCTGGATATCAGGAAGTTTCTATTGTTTGACAGTTTTTCTGCTTCAATTATAGGTGCACCTCAATAGCACTCATGGTTCAGCCCACTCGCTTGACACAGATGCATTGCTGTCTTCAGGAGAGTCTCTCAAGTCGGACAATGACATGTTTAAAGAGGGACTGCGTAGAGCCCAGTCAACAGACAGTTTGGGAACATCAGGATCTTTACAAGCCAAAGGTCTGGGCTACAACAATAAAGCCAAATCAGCTGGGAACCTTGATGAATCTGACTTTGGGCCGCTGGTTGGGGCAGACTCTATATCGGAGAACTTTGACACTGCCTCCCTGGGCTCTCTGCAAATGCCTGGTGGGTTCATGTTAACCAAAGACCAGGAAAAAGCAATCACAGCAATGACACCAGAGCAGGAGGAAACAGCATCCCTTCTCTCCAGCATCACACAGAGTGTAGAAAACGCTTACGTGTCTCCTAGCGGTTACCGTTTAGTTAGTGAAACGGAATGGAATCTCCTTCAGAAAGAGGTATGCATGTATACACACACTGTATACTCCCATCTGAGACTGTTTTGTGTATTATACCTCTCGGCTGAAAACTTCTTGATTTTTATCCAAAATTGCTACAGTTGTAGCCATCCTCTCAGTGGGATTTATACATATTCTTCTATGGAGCTTTCCAGAGGAATAATGATTTTATGTTCTCCAGGTGCAAAATGCTGGGAACAAGCTGGGAAGGCGCTGTGACATGTGTTCAAATTATGAAAAACAGTTGCAAGGCATCCAGATTCAGGAGGCTGAAACAAGGGATCAGGTGGGTGCCGTTTGGTCTCTAATCATGCAGAAAGTGAAAGGATTCCAAGAGGTAATGAGAAATAAAACAAGACATCTTTCACTTAGAGCTATTTAGCTACTAATTACAGCACCAATACTACCCTATCTTTTCACAACTCAGCAATTTATGTCACATTAATAAAATCAAATGCAGTAAAAACCACAAGGCAACCCATGTTCATTGATCACCCCATTAATATTTCATTCTATTAAAAGTTTTAGTGTAACACAAGGAGACTTTTAGTGTAAAATGGGAAGGAAACTCTGTGCAACCCCAGATGTTATTCCTTTTCAGTAGTTACTACTCCAGTTTTGTCTCTTCTGACTTGATTTCTTAGGATCCAACATATTTAAAACTAATTTGGCCAATAGAGTATACAAAAAAAGTTTTCTCTAATAAATGAGACATTTATAGGAAAACCATCTAATAAGAATAAGCCACTCACCCACTAAACAATTGGAGAGAGAAAACTCTCAGCAGACTCCCCAATTCCAACACCTTTGCCCTATGGGAGCTAGCCTTTGAACTCATTCTCAGCAATATTCATGCTGATATTCATACCTAATCCAATAATAGCCAAGTCAGAGTGTGCAACGGAGGTAGATACCTCAGTGAAGTGCCTCTTGCTATTCATGTCAAGGAAAAGCTGCTGCCTTAAGACAGACTTAAGCAGTGGGTAGAAACAACATTGCTAGCTCTTAGCCCAGGGGTGTCAAACTCTATTTCATTGAGGGCCACATCAGGGTTGTGTTTGACCTCGGGGGGCCAGGGTGGGCATGGCCAGCTCGATGTCACTCATGTCGGGGGCACCTGTGGTGGCCCAAGCCTGCTGCCAGCGAAAACAGGCTCCCAAGCTCCGTTTTCAGCTGTGCCGGCTTTCTGCAACCCTCTGCCAGTGAAAACAGAGCTGGGGCTCTCCCAAGCTCTGTTTTCGTGGCAGAGGCACCAATCGGCCAGCCTTTTGCTGTTTCCAAGTTGGCCCCGCGGACCAGATTTAAGCACCCCACGGGCCAGATCTGCCGTGCGGGCCTTGAGTTTGATATCCCTGTCTTGCTACGTTATGAATTCTCATGCTTTCTTCTATACACATAAATTAATGCTACTTATGCAAACTTACGGCTTGTGTTAATTCAATGACCAATTGGTTCAGTATCATTTATTATACAGGAGTAAGAAATTAATTGGAGGCAGATTTATCTCTGGATCCCTGTGATAACTTATTATAAATATTGCTTCTGTCCTGACTTTTGCAATAACATTCATCTGCTGTTTATGCACAACAGTTCAGATTTGTCTAAACCGTATTTAATTGAACTGTCAGTATTGAATGATTTGGATTTGGATTTCATTTGTTAAAGACTTTGGGCTTGTTTTCAAGATCAGGCTTGGTTATTGAAGTTGATTTGAGTTAGACTGATTCCCTGCACGGACTGATTCCACACATAACGATTTCTCAGTTATACCACTATGCTTATTTTCTTGTACAGTTCATGGGTCACTTACACATGCAGAGATTTCTGCCTTCCATTCACCTCTGTATAAGGCTGATAGCAAATTTGTTTTCATTTTCATGAGAAATGAGAGCACCTAATTTTGGGGAAGAGTTCCTTTGTTTGCTTTAAACTCAGTTCAGCCAATTCACTCAATTCACACTCAAATATATGTACAAGTTGGAGGCTGGAAGAATAGTACCTGAGCCTGTGCATAAACCCTCTAGCAGATAGACAAAATAGTTTCAGATTTTTTAATCTCCAGTGGTCTTATTACAGTTTAAACTGTATTTAATAGAGCTTTTAAATTTAGCCTCTTCATAAACATTTGGATGAGGTACTTGATTCTATGTTCAGTTATGAATATATACGTTTCAGGGAATGAAAGCAAATTGTATGGTATTTCCATTAATGCTAAAAGAGAAAATAGTGTATTTTTTGTGAATGTAATCAAATACAACAGATAATCTTTCTACCCTTTTAAGATAAAGTATTAACATTTTGTTATGGGGTCAAAGAATCGGATGGCTGTGATGTTAGAAAAGGTTAAGCAAAGAGGGCATGAACTGTAGTGAAACTCATTTTCATGGTTTCTTTATCTATTTCATCTTGTTTCTAAATTATAAGCATAGATTTTATGTCTTGGAGAAAAATTAACCTTATTTAGATAAGGGATGTTTATGGTGTATTGTGTCTAACCCCGTAGGTGAAGAAACTTCAAATGATGTTGAGGCAGGCCAATGATCAACTAGAAAAAACATTACGAGAGAAACAGGAGCTGGAGGAATTTATGAAACAAAGTAGCGAAGACTCAGCCAGTCAGGTAAAGAAAATCTTACAGAAAACTAAAAATTCTTAAGTGAGAATGACCATTGCATAGAGCCTATATTTAAACTGGTTGATTCTTTTTATACCAATTGTGTACTGCAGAATGTACTGGAGGTGATTTGAGAGTATGTTTATCTTGTAAAGTTAACAGGATCAAATAGCACTTAGCACTTAGTCTTATATACCACTTCACAGTGCTTTACAGCCCTCTCTAAGCGGTTTACAGAGTCAGCAAATTGCTTCTAACAAGCTGAGTCCTCATTTTACCAACCTCAGAAGGATGGAAGGCTGAGTCAATCTTGAGCTGGTAAGAATCTGACTGCTGGCAGTCCGCAATCAGAAGAATTAGCCTGCAATACTGCATTCTAACCACTGTGCCACCATGGTTCTTGGTGATTAGTATACTAATCATAACTAATACGATTAGTATAATACTGCTAGTATAGTTTGGGAATTAAAGAAACATCCCAGGAGGCAGCGGTGATAAGCCGATTCTGTATTGTTGATTTTTTAAAAATTCTGCAGATGGTCCTCAACTTACAACTGGTTGTTTAACATTCAAAGTTACAATGGCCTCAGAAAAGGTGTTTATTTCCAGCCATCGTAAAATGTTGGCCCCTCCCTCACAATCACATGACTAGATTTCAGGTGCTTAACAATCATCCTGCTTTTTATCAAGTGCCCTGCGATCATGTGATTGCCATTTCTCTAGCAGCTTTTCCAGAGGGTCAATGGGGAAGCTGGCAGGAAAGGTTGCAAGTGGAGGGGATAGAGGAAAGTTGAAATTCTTTGAGGGGCTTCAGGAATAGAGTTGAAATCTTGAAGAGTTCAGCTCCATTCAGGAGCCCCAGGAGGGGCAAGGAAAACCTTCAGCACATCCATTGGGAGATTGTTTTACAGATACAATTGGGAGTGCCAGGATTGTGGGCTTTGCTCAACGACCGAGATTCTGGTTTCACTTGTGGTCATAAGTTGAGGGCTACATGTACATGCATGTGAAATCCCCAGAGGCAGACCGTCAATTTGGAGACTACCTTTAAGTATTTTGGAGCACTTGCCCCATTGTTACTGATATTTCAGCATGGAACTCTGTAAGGGAAAAAATGAAAATAATTCTGCTAAAAAGTTAGGAATTTTTAAAAATACCTGTTATATTATGCCATTTTGTACTCAAGGTGTGTGTGTATAATTTATTCATATTTTTCTCCTTCTTTTTGACAGATTTCATTACTTACTGCTAGAGCTCAGGAATCTGATGCCTTACTTAATGAATTACAGCAGGCATTTTCTCAAGCTAAAAGAAATGTCCAAGATCAAATGGTAAACCGTGAAGAATTATTTTAATATACATATTTGAATATATTTGTTGTTTGTTTTACATATTATTATAGTTTTATAGTTTTATATTATATGTATTATTCCATTTTTTTCTATAGAGAAGTATCACTCATGGGTACTGTCCATTTCTAGCTGAGTATGGAGGACAGTTTAGGATATTCTAGTTGGTTTTGCTCTCAAAAGTCTGCACAGAATGTATCTGTTTCTTTACTTCCTGTCCTTATTTGAAGAGCAAAACCTCTCATATGCTCTATGAAACACACAAATTGGTTCATAAGAATAGCCAATGAACCAACAAGGTTCACAGATCTTCTGGGAAGGGAGTCTTTCTATATCTTCTCTTCAATATACCTCTAACAGGTTAGAGACCTTCTGTGATTAAGGTCTGTAGCTGGAACTACCTTATGCTGTTCATGAAGGAGAAATTTGGCACCTGCCCTAACCCAATTTGGGACTCTGCATCAACTATGTACTGTTTAAGGAACATACTGATCTGCTTGACAGTAAATGGGGGAGGGTAACCCAAATGATGTTAGTTTGGCCATTTTCTGGTGATGTCTGTCCTGCAAGATGAACTCAGGTCCCAATGGCATCTACAGGGATGTCAACATAGGCAAGATAAGAGTATTGTGTAAAATTGTGGCAAGTGTATAGAAGTGGCAGTCACAATGTTCATGTTCACGATGCTGTGGCCACCATGCTGCCTGTTTTCAAATATACATTGTGGCTGCTCTTAGGCCTAACCTACTCACAAGGTTATTGTGGGAAAAATAGGAGACAGAAACATTATATACATCACCTTGAATTATACAAAATCCAGTACTATACCAGTTCTACTAAATAAATAAAATAAATGTGAAGCACCAGAACTGCTTTTTTTTTGTTCCTACTTGAACACTAGGATAGTATTTATGAAGAATGAAATGATTTTGGTTTTATGGTGGTTCAGATGACCCTTCTTACAATATTGAACAAGGGCCCCCTGTACTTTTCGAACCTGGGGCCTAGAAGAGGATTGCTCTATTGTCTAGATAACACAGAACGCATATGTGTTTCTTTTCCAGCTTATCTAAATGGTGGAAGACCACTTTGTCTCAATGGGCCAGAATGAGATTTAGGAAAATGTTGAACAGAAAGTAATACAATTGATCAGAATGATACTTGATAAGAGACCTTGGGGATATGTCATTATGGATGCAAGCCCAGAAATATAGTCAGGAAGGTAGATTGGGACAAAGGTTAGGTCTGAATTTCAGTTGGATGGGTTTCCTATAAGCTCCTCGTGGTCTTATTAGCTGTGCTGTCTGTGAAATAGCAGCTTAAAAGTGGTAAGAATAAGCTCCAAATTGTTTGGCCGGCTTCCTAATCAGTTGATCTATTTTTCTTCAGTATTTTGGAGGAAATCATGTGTCCCTGGAGGGGGTCTGTATTTTTATTTATGCAGCCAGTTTTTCAGTTATTCTTTTTCCTAGAACTGTACTTTCCAAACTTCTTTCACTTAATGTACTGTAGATTCCTGTGTTTGTTCTGTTTAAAGTTAGATAATTATGAATTATTGCAGAATTGTATCTGATGTGGCTAATTTACTCCTAGAATGTTAAAATTGCTAAGGCCTTTCTAAACAACTGAACCCAGTCAGCTATTAGTGATTTCAACAAATCACGGTTGGGTTAAGTGGGCCAAATTATTTGTAAATGCAGAATCTCTACTTAGTTTCTTCAGGAAATGCTTACTATCCCATAAGTCATTGTGCCACGAAGGTCCTGGCAAGACTTTTGGCAGCAATAGATGTGAGCTGGTCAGCATCCAGTCAGTGTTTGGGAAGTGATTTCTGAAAATCAAAGGTGTAAGCTTTTAATTCAGGGGTGTCAGACTCACATTACAGCAGCGTCACGTGACATATCGGGACTTCCCCCCCCCCTTCACTAAACCGGGTGTGGGTGTGGCCGGCACGTAATGCATCTGGCCATAAGCCGGGAGTTTGACAGTCCTGCTTTAGTTGGTTCTCCTCTCCAGCTCTTTCTCTTCAAGGACATGGTAGGCAAACTGATTTCTTTAACTGGGTTTATGTGTTTTTACAGAATGCTTATGTTTGTTTTGAGTTGAATAACCTTACATGCTGGCTGTATCATTTAACCAATCCCTTTTTTTAGTATTTTAGTTGAAAATTTCACAACTCACATATTTAATAAGTTGTGGGCAGAAAGTCATGGTGAGCAAGGATATTTTTCATATTGGTATTTTTTCCTGTCTTGTCCACTACCTAGTTCCACCCTATTAAGAATGAAATGTGAGTTAATCTGAAGAGCTGATTTTTTAGGGTTTAATTCTTTCTTTGTTTGCTGGAGGTTGTCCTGATGCAATCACGAGAGCTCGTTTCAGAGGAATTGGTAAGGCTCCAGAAGGATAACGAAAGCCTTCAAGGAAAACATTGTCTGCACATATCTTTACAGCAAGCTGAGGACTTTATACTTCCAGAAACTGGAGAGGTAAGATACCTTTTGGTTAATTTTAAACAGATCTATTTCGGGCATAATATTGGGTAAGGCATTCTTGCAACTAAAGTTTAGGAATAATGGCTATCACTTTTTTAAGATTAGAAAAAGAAACTTGTTTCTAGTAATTTATGTGAGTAGATCCACATGTTGATTATAATATTTATCTAAACTGAAATCTTAAATTAGTAAAAACTGCAACCCTATCTATGGTTATGTTTTGGTATTTATCTGTCTTAAACTAGATAATTTCCAGTATATCTTGAACAATCACTATTTTTTTCACTCTAAAACCGCCAGGACAATACTTTGTTATTATCTTATCTTTTTGTTTCGTAAGAAAACAAAGAGTATTTCTTAGTTATTTAGCTTCAAATCATATACTTTATAAGTTAAGTTCCTCCCATTTCTGCTTGAAAGCATTTGACATCAAGGAAGATATCTTATTACGCAATTGTGGTAATATATTTTCAAACAACATTCTAAGCAGGGCTCTCTGAAATTGTTACAGTCTGGAATTGTTGCTCGGCATTTGTAGTAAATGGATTAATAGAAGAAAACAATATGACTTTACCGCTTGGTAATTATTATAACTCCCCTTGTTTTTCCAGTCATCCTTAACCTGAGTCCCTCCAGCTGTTAACTTATATAGGTTACATATCTGGAGGGAATAAGGTTGAGACAATTATATTAGGCCCCAAATTACATAAGCTGCTGGCCTTAAAAACACCTTTCTGATAACTGACAGCCCCAATGTTGCCCATGGGCTCAGGAACTTGCTCTTGTGTTAGACATTAAGTTAACAAAGGTGTTAATTTAAAATTACTATGGAATATTTTTTAGTGTTAAACTCCTGCCTCTCCTTACCTTTAAAAAAAACCCTGAAGAATCTAGAGAATTCTCTAGACTTGGAATTATTATATTTTAAAGTGTTCAAGACTTCTGTTTCCCCTTTTGTATCTTTCCCTTTTGTCCTTTTCAAAATCAGTTTCCAATCAAAGTCCCCTTACAGTTTATTACATGATGGTATATGCATGCAGGAAGACAGTTTGATATATATATATAAGCCTTTGTTTCAGGAACTCCGTGAATTGGTCCTCAAGTATCGTGAAGACATTATTCGTGTACGAACTGCAGCTGATCATCTGGAAGAAAAACTGAAGGCAGAAATTTTATTTTTAAAAGAACAGATTCAAGCCGAACAATGTTTAAAAGAGAACATAGAAGAGACTTTGCAGCTAGAAATAGAAAATTGCAAAGAGGAAATAGGTGAGACTAGGGCTCTTTTTATATTTAAGCATCTTTCAGGGAACTCCACTTGTCTTCCTAATTTGCTGGTCCCTCCCTAGTTAATCTGAGCTGAATATGAGTCCATAAATGAAATTAAAACCTTTCCCCATTTTTAACAGCTGCTGCATCCAGTCTAAAAACAGAATTGGAGCAAATAAGAATGATTAAAGACCAGGTAACTTATCTAAAGATTTTGGGAGGTGCTCAGTACAGTATACTGTGGCAAAAACCCTTTGATGTTCCTTCTGTGTACTTTGGATTAGATGGGTCTCCTATTCAAAGGTCTTCATATCTGTCTCAAACATAGAATAATTCTTTATTTAGTACTGCGATTATTCTAAATTGTTAGGTGTGGAGGAAATGTTGTACATCTCCCTTCCTAGTTATGTTTTTTTTTTCTGGGTATAAAAAAGAACTGCTAACAGAGGGGCAAAATACATTTTGAAAGCATTTAAATGAGACCATCAAAATAGTGGTTCTTCATGCTTGTTCCCCTCTTTCATGATAAAGTTTCTGCCTAAAATTGAGAATCATATTCAAGGCCATAAACTACTTTGGAATAATGGTAGTAAGGTACATGTCAAAGGACTAATTAATGTTGTTCTCAGATTTTTATGTATACCTGGCATAAAACTGCTTTCTCTGTGTATATCCTGACATCACACTGGCAAAACAAGTAGTCAGAAAACAGATGGTGTCAGGAACTTCTGAGCAGCAGAGGAGATTAAAATAATTGGTGATAGCTTCAGTGTTTGCTTTCAGTAAGGGAGAAGTTTAAATAATTCCACAAAAGATTTTACAAAGCAAAAATGGATAGGCTGTAGAAGAGCCCTAAGTGGTTGGTTAGCACTGGAGAGCTTTTAGCCCATTCAATACATTCTTCCATTTTCACAGTTGGAATCCAACTTGAAAGAAAAGATACAGCAGTTAGAAAACTTTGAAGAGAGAGAAAATGATCTGGAAGAACAGCTGAAAAAGGAAATTGCCACAAAGGTAAATAATTTTGTATGACTGACATTAAATGGTACTGAATTGCTATATGGGAAGGGGGCTGATAGTGCTCAAGCCTAGTCATTGGTAGAGGAACTATTTGTCATTGTAACAAATAGTTCACAAAAGAAGGGACTTGAATGGGATCAATCCTGTATTTCTGAAATCAACAAAATTCAAAGACATTTGAAAGAAATACAGGGAACAGACAGACAGACAGCAAATTAGATTCAGTGCAATATGAGCAATATATGCACATAGGGAATGGAGGGTAGAAAATGAGAACAAGCAAATCCAATTTCATGCACGCAGAGATGCGGTTTGGATAAATTACCTTGAAATAGTGCAGTACAGGTGGTAAGAGATCCCTCCTTTCCTAAAACCCTTCCAGTCTTCTCTGACTAGGAAGGCCATCATGAAGCCACGTTTATAAGCCAGACACACACACCCTCATATCTCCAAGATGCAGAAATCATTGCTGTTTCCTTTCCCAGGCTAACTTAGAACATATGATGTTCGAGGAAAAGAACAAAGCTCAACGGCTTCAGACAGAATTGGATGTCAGTGAGCAAGTACAGAGAGATTTTGTTAAGCTTTCTCAGACCCTTCAGGTGAGGTGATCACTTGGGAATGAAGGCAGTGAAAAGTGTCAATTCTTGGATTTTTCTAGCCACCAGAATTAGGTTTCTCTCTGATGTTTGTCCTATTCTTGCTCTACTTGGTTGCTCCTACTTTCCAAGGCCACAGGTTGTTCCCACAAATAATGAGTAAAATAGGTCTTGCTAAATTTTGTCCTTCCATAGAGTTATTTCATGCTCAGGGGAAAAAACTTTTTTTTTTCTCTTTGAGAATTCTAGAATGTAAGCGTAGGAAGTGATCTTGGAGCTTATCCAGGTCAGCTCCTTGCCTGATGCAGAATCTACTATCTATTCAGGCTGTTTAATTTCCAACAGAGGAAAATCCACCCTCTTCCTAGGCAGTCTGTTACATTTTGGGAACAGCCCTTGCCGTTTGGAAATGTTTCCTGAGAGCCAACCCAGATTTTCCTCCTTAACTGTAAACAATTGTTCCTTGTCCTGCCTTCTGAAACCACTCTTGAATTAATTACTCCCCAGCTTCTAGATTTTTGAAGACTGTTTTCATGTAATCTCTCTGTAATCTTACAGTTTCCAGGCTAAACATACCCAGGACCTCTACCTATGTGTCTATTGATAAATAACCCTGCAGAACTTTAAACTTTATAACTAAGAGAAACTCAGTCCCCTTACAGATAGTCATTCCGTTAATGTTATGTGTTGCTCATTTTTGCTCAGGTCCAGTTGGAACGGATCCGGCAGGCAGATTCCCTGGAGAGAATTCGTGCAATCCTCAATGATACAAAACTGACTGACATTAATCAGCTACCTGAAACATGACAGCCTTGGTAGCAAAGCTGCAAAGCTACATTTTGGTGTTTTTTTTTTTAAAAAAACCCTCTTTATAGCAAAACCTTTAATAATTATTTAATTCTAACTGAAAGAGCAGAAGATGACACAAGAGCCATGGTCCAGGTTGTGTTTCTGGGAGGGAGAAGGTTTTGTGGGCGGGAAGAAAGTTTCACACAGAGAAGATTGGCAGGATCCTGCAGGGTGCCTGCCTTCAGTGTAGTTGGACTTCTCCATATAACTCATCTACCTTCATCCTCCTGCCCCCCCCCCCCCCCCAATGTGATCCTGGAATACAGCATTCCCTCCCTCCCTCTCATCCATACCCTGTTAAAATACTGTGATGAAAGTAATTGCTGAAAATCATCTCCTCCCATCCTACCCCAAATCTTTTGGAGTGAAGTTACACTAGCAAGTTGGGCAGAAGGGGAAAATAGTATATTGTATTAATATTTTATATTAAAATATGAATTTACTTGCAGGACACCGGGTTTTGGGTTTTTCTAGCTCAGTACATTTTCTGTACCTTGAATGTTGTGCTGGAAGAGCCCCAACTAAAAACATGGGACAGAATATGGACAGAAAAGGATTAGAGAGAAGGCTGCAAATTTTCCCAAAAGAACCTAAGGCACAGGGGAAAAAATGGATAATTAGAATGGGAAAATAAATTCATAAGACACAAAAGTCAGGGAAGTGAAGGTTAATCTTCATAGAAAAAAAAGCAAATCAAAATAAATTGCTTCAGAATCTTGCCTTACCTCCCCCCCACCCCCCACCCCCAAAAAAGCTGCATTGCACAACATCAACATATGGCTGGATTCAGCATTACCCTTTTCTCACCGAAATACCTGGGGTTGAATTAGTCGCATGTATCAATACACATTTGATTACCATGGCATAAAAAACTTAAAAGCCTTATCATCCTTATAGTACAGAGGTGTTTTGCAAATCTCTACCCAGATTCTAGAAGGCCTTTAGCTTTGTATGTATTTGTTTAAAGATTGGGTTTAAAATTATACATTTAAGATAATGCTGCAACACCTCAGATAGGAAATGTTTGTGAAGCTGCAGTTATGTTTATGCTTGGACTGAATGCTTCTCTTGAAAAGCTCATGATACAGATTTGGAAAATCTTGTTGTAGGCATAAAATCAGAACATGCAAGGTGCATTAAACTCCGTAACAGAAGGGTTCCAGAACCCAAATGCAATTGATTTGCTGTGATCCAACTCTGAGGGAAAAGGAAGATGCTTCCCAATTTAAAATATTTTTTTTCCAGTCAGGGGGCTGCATGATTACCTGGGTTCCAATAAGAGTTATAAACTCCTAGGAACTGTTTTAAATAGAATGAGTGTAAAGTAGATACAATGTGTTAATCTGTATTTCTATTGGATTTTTATTCTTGTGGTCAGGCAGTAGTTGAACAGGTGAATGTTGAAATGGGCTAATGGAGTTGCAAGCAACTGTTCATTACCAATTTTTCCACACCTGCTACCGAGAGAGCAACTATCACTTATGACATTCATTTTCTAGACCAGAATCAATCTAATTGAATCATGTTTATTATTACTTGCTTCTTGAACAAGCAAGTATTGATTCAATATCTAGTTTGTAGATCGGTGTGAGCAGTTTGAGTATCTCCCCATTGTTGAAAGAAAGCTATCACTCTATTTTACTTTTTGGGTGGGCAAAGACCATCAACTGAGTTTATCTGTTTCAGGTTTTCTGGATAGTAATTGAGGTGAGGAGGAAGAGAGGGGGCGACTTGATTCCATGTAAGTTCTAACTATGTAACTGGTACAAAATCAAAAAGCATTTGCTGAAGTATTTCAGAATCATTGGGGAAAGAAACGATTTGGAAGAGAATGCAGGGAAGATAGATCTGTTTTACTACATTTAAAATTTATACATATAATTAATCAAATATTGACAATGTAATACTGTAACGTCTACAAACCTGAGAATAATATGCTGCTAGTTCACACAAATGTTTAAAAAGGGAAAATTTGTTTTAATGGCAGGAAATCCCCATTTTTCAAAATTGATCTTTAAAATGAATTGCTTTCATAATTAACTTTTTTAAAAAAAGGCTGTATGACTCTGACTTTTTTTAATGTAAAGGAATAATTAATTTATGCCATTAGTTTTCAGTTCTCTCATTCAAAGGCTTAGCTACTACAAATAGGTATAATGCAGTGACCAGTACGGATTTAAATAGGGATTGTGTGCAAAATGACAGGAAAGAACAGTTGAGGCTGGCTCTGGTCTGTATACTTGTACAGTCCTTTTGTATGCAAAATGTATACTAAAAGGTCAAAGAATTACTGGAAGACTTGTACAGTCTTAATACGTGCACAATAGGTTCTTCCAACATGTCAAATGGTTTACTTTCACTTTTGTATTGCTATGGCATAACTATATTGCTTCTAACAACACAGTGTGGCCAAGGATAAGGGTGGGAGATGGGTAAGTAATCTATAAAGCCCCTTACTTAAAAAAAAAAACTAGCCTTCAAATTCCACTTTTGGAATTATATTGCATTCCAGCAAAAGCCACTGGTGTCCTGTGAAACTGTGGATGTAAAATTATCCTGTCTATTGAATTAAAAAAATGTAACCATTTGTTAACTGTATTGGAGGTGTATCCTGCAAAAGTGTTCCAAATTAAAGGAGAAAAGTCTTGCAATTCTTTTCATACCTTCTTTCTATTTAACTGTATTGTATTGATGATCTAAGAAGGGTTCATACAGTTAGCGCAGAAAATGATCTATATGGAAAATTTTGGTACAGTGGTTGTATTGATTTTTATTTTGAAATGAACCGTGTGTTATTACAAACATTTAAGTTGAAGTCACAAGAAGTACAAAGTTCCCTTATTTTTCCCCACGAAGTATCAAAAGGGCGGAAGTCAACTGTCTTTAGCATCATGCCTTCTGTACAATGCTGCAACATACGTTATAATCAGATGCATCCTCTAATGAGTATTTAATAGTGGATCTTTTTGTAAAAATAGTTCAGTTTATAAATTAATAAAAATGCAGCTGGTTACATTTAATATTCCAACAATGTAAGTCTGTAGTCTAATGACTAAAAGGTGACATGATTCCTGATGTCATTTATTTGTTTCACCATCTCCTGAATGTGTTCTCCCCTGAAAGAAAAAAAAAAGTTTTCTTTATCTCAGTATTAAACAAGGATAGTAAGAAAGACAGTTTGTAATTGAAATCTTTAAATTTGATGTATTTTGGTTAGTCCAGTATTTTTTATGTATAACTAATACCTACAGAGTCTCACAAATTGCCTTCCTCTTACTGGAAATATATACTGTGTGTGTGTGTATTTTATTTTATTTATTTATTTTTTTGGGGGGGAGGGAAAGTTGTCTGTCACTCTCACAAAGCTAATAAACACACAAATATTTAGGACCTATACAACTCTGGCCAGATCGTAACACTATATACAGAGTTAGTATAGCAGCTGTCAGCAGCCTAGAAACTCAACCACGATGGAAGCCTTTGCACCATGCATGCATTTGCCATTAATCAAATATTAATTATGCAAGAAAATAATCATAGCTCAGCAAGCAATTGACTCACTCCTCTTTCAGAACAGCTTGGATACATTTCCTCTGATAGGTGCTTAGGTTGATGCTCGGCTTCTGTGGACTATTTCCCTTCTCCATTTTTCTCTGCTGGTAATCCTTTTTCATTTTAACCTAGAGTACAGGGAAGCAATATGGAGAAACACCTCAAAAGTTACTTTTATTGTTCTCATAAAGGAGAATATTTGTAGCTGGGGTTGAAATGAGGGGTTCAGACACCAAAATATAAACTGACAACAAACAGCACTCCTTACTTGCACTGATGATGTTACCTAGTTGGGGTAATGAAATGTCTGCAGGATAACAAGCAATCTCAGAGAGCGGCAAGGACCCTCATTTTATTTTTCTAGATGTTTTTAGAAATGAGAACCACTTGCCTGCTTGATAGCATTGCCTAAATGCCGCAGTTGTTCTTGTATTGTTTGTAGCTCCTTCTTCATATCCTTTTCACTATCCGACAGGACAGGCAGCTGTGAGTGGAAACTACGGAGAACTTTCTTCATCCTGTAGACACAAAAAGAATGTCAGGTTTCTAACAAGCGGCAGTGGAGATGGGGATTCGCTGTGCCTTTTCAGAGGACATAACCAAATATCTTCTCAGAATAGCGCTACACTTATACAACGTATAACCATTCCATTCAAATTTACTTGTAGATTTTAGTTTCTTATTTGGTGAGGCGTGATGTACACTTCTGTTCAAAAGTAAATTAGTTTCATTTTGCTAATTAAATGTTAGCACACTTATTGGTTACTCTAGCTGTTTGATGCTTGGCAAGGAAAGAGGTACAATAGTACAGTAATAATTTTTAGATAATTTTTAAAAAGCTAAACACTAATAAAACAATTTTCATTGAACTAAACAATAATAATTGACTTTGGTTTGACTTGGCAGAATCTGTGAACCCAGAATGTTTATCTGGTATTTAAGTGAAACAGTTCCACAAGCAAAACTGCTTATCCATTTTCATTTTATTGGGTGTGTAGCCTGCAACTGCCTTTCTATAAACTAGGCTTTCTTCTATTAACACATGTATTATAATTTAGAAAGTAGTTCAGTTTAATGACTGGGCTTCTTCTACAACGGTTTCTTTAGCAAGAAGTTAGATAATTGCAGTTATTTCAGCTAATCAGAAGAGCCTATAGTAAGATATCCTCACCTGTTCACAATATCCTCTTGTTTCTCTTTGGCTTCTTCATATTTGTCAGCCAAACGCTCTGCCATCTCTCTCAAGCTTTTTCTGTATGAGAAAACATGTTCTTTTCAGAACAGCAACAACCTTTGTTTTTTTTACACGTTACAGCATTACGATACACAAAATGTATTTATTCCTTGAATAATTTCATGCAATTTCTAGTGGATACATTCATTGCAAATCAACTTCTATGATCTCTAGTAGCAGCATCTATGAGGAACCAGAAGAGCACTAAAATACAGAATTTACAACTTGACTTAAGTTTCACCTGAAAGGAGCTAAATGTTAAGCCTGGTAATGTTAAAGAGGATAAAGGAAAATCAGCAACCTGGATCAGTAGTCATACAAATTGTTTCCTATAATGTCTGGCCCTCCCAGTCTATGATAGGTGCATTTGCCTTGTTCAGTGGTATCTATTAATATACGGTACAGCAGTAGCTCTCCAAAATCAAGCCCGAGTTTTGCAACTCCACAACCCAAGTCCTAAAGGTAATTTTCCAAAGGGTAACTGGACTTTCTTGGGGTTTTTTCTTTGACAAAAATTCACTTCTCATCCAAGGAGCTTCGTCAGTTCCACTTCTTGAATGAAAAGTGAAATATTTTCAAGGAAAAAAAAAACCCAAGAAAGACTCATTGCCTTTTGGAAAAACACCTTTGGGACAACCATGACCTGGATGATTTGAGGATCTCCATAAGTGGTGGGATTCAAAAATTTTTACTACCGCTTCTGTGGGCAGGGGAAGGGTACTGTAAAATCTCCAGTCAGAGGTAGTATTTGCCGGTTCTCTGAACTACTCAAAATTTCTACTACCGGTTCTCCAGAACTGGTCAGAACCTGTTGAATACCACCTCTGATCTCAAACCCAAGCCATTCGAGTTATTGAATGTGTGTGAATCTAAAATACTTTCTGTACAAAAATAGTCTGCATCATTGACTTTTGCTACTTCCATGGGACAATCCAGAAAAGCCATCATAATTCTTT